GGACAGCAGAGCGCGGCGGGCGCAGCTGCTCCGGCCCGCGCTGCCCGCTCCCCGGGGTCCCCATCCCCGGGGTCCCCATCCCCGAGGGTCTCAGTCCCCAAGGACCCCTGTCCCCGCGGATCCCTGTCCCTTTGAGACTCTGTCTCAAAGCATCCCTCTGCCCGAGGATCCTCGTCCCCAAGGGTCTGTGTCCCAAACTATCCCCGTCTCCGAGGGTCCTCGTCCCCAAGGATCCCTGTTGCTGAGGATCGCCTTCCCTGAGGATCCCTATCCCCAAGGTCCCCACCCTTACGCTCTCCATCCCCAAGGGTCTCACTCCCCAAGGATCCTCGTGCCGAAGGATCCCTATCCCAATGGATCCTCAGCCCCAGGGACCCTGTCCCAAAGAACCCTCATCCTTGAGGATCCCTGCCCCAAATGATCCTCACCTCCAAGGATCCCTGTCCCCAAGGATCCCCACCTTCAAGGATCCCTGTCCCCAAGGATCCCCATCCCTGTGGATTCAGGTCACTGAGGATCCCTGTCACTGAGGATCCCTGCCCCAATGGATCCCGTTCCCCAAGGGTCCCCATCCCGAGGATCCCCCCGATCTGCCCTGCACCATTCCTTGACATTTTAACTCCCCTGCAGGCAGACCCCCCCCCATGCTGCCTGCGCCGGGCAGCACCTCCCCGCCGAGGGGCGTAAAGTGGCAGGGGTGGGGCGGCCACGTGCGTCCCCTGGGGTCCCACGGGACCTGTGCCCCGAGGAGAGCATCTCGCCTGTGCCTCCCTGGGTGCTGCCTGCGGTTTTGGGTGCCTCACTCTGGAGTCGGGAGCCCATCCACCCCGGGGTGAACCTCCACCCAGGCCATACCCAAGTGCTTCGACACCCCCAAAGCCTTTGGCCGCCCCTCCTGCCACCCAGCCCTGTTCTCCCGCCCGGCCGCAGCCACAGAGGGACCCGCGCCCTTCGTGGGGGATGATTTCACCCTCTCTGCTCGGCACCCTGCGAAGCAACAGCGTCGTCCATCCCTTCTCCTGCTGGGAG